TTGTACCTCGCTGGCTGGGGCTGGCCTTTTGGGCCATGCCAATAGCCCAGACACCTTCTCCGTGCTGAATATATATATTCTGCCCGAGTATTGTGTCTTCTTTCGTCTTAAGGGAGTCTCGGGACGCTACAATAAACTACCATCGTATTACATATGCATTTTACAAAAGCCAAAGCTGGACACAATTCCTAATAAGTCGCTTTTATCTATTTTTGTTTAAAGGCTAATTTAGATTTTATTACACAATTATTGAGAAGAAAAATTTCATGGTTTTTTTTAACATGGCTTAGCACTAGTTTTAGAGTACTAACTAGAGGTATATCTTGTCATTAATTTCCTTAAATGTGAGTGGTTGAACGCCAGTTACCTTCCGCCTGTACAGTGAAGGAGCTCTTTTGGTTTCGATCACTTATCAGCAGTTATTTCGCTTCACCGGAAATGTTACTGCCCTATGTGAAGAAGTTTGAGGCTTACATGAAAAGTGGTACCAGGCATCCTGCTTTCCCCTGGTCCCTAACCTCCAGAATTCGCCAATTTCCTTATGCATGGTACTACCAAAACAACAAATTTGTTCGGTACTACGCTTTATGCATGCCTGTGTTCTTGCCTCTTTGTGTGTATCTTCTCATTAAGTTTCACTTCGTGAAGAAGAAACTCACTCACAACTATGACCCATTCAACCCCTATGAAATTCCTGCTAGCAAGCTGGGGCACTATTAACTTATGCATAGAATGTTTTCTTTTAGGTTTTTGTCCCTCAATAGAAGTATCGATCCTTATTGAAGTGCTTTTTACTATTGAGATGGGCTTTTTGTAACACTTGGTTTGGTAATTCCTAGCACTGACGATAAATCCTCTGTGTGGTGTTACATTTCGGTTGGGTGGTCTTTTATGCGCATTTATATTAAATGCTGACTCTTCACCTTAAGAATAGGCACACTTGAGTTCATGTTACTAGTCTGCCTGGGAGGTTGTTCGTGTAGTGAATCCCATTGACATTTTTAGACGTCGTGGAACTGCTGAGTAGCAGCTATTCTGTCGCATGCACGCAACTGCTGGTTGAATATTTGACCTGAAAATGCCGAGGGCTGAGGATTTCCATGAATTTGCTTTTCGGGTCATGGGTAAAGCTGCATCCAAAGGCTTTCTTTATTCTCGCAGATTTTGAGTGGAATCCATCCCGCTCTTTACAGCTTCTTTTTGAATGTAAATAGCCTTGACGGTCTGAAGCTCTCATAATTTCGACCGAGCTAGTGGTCTTTTCATTTTACTTGACTGGATGGGAATGATGCGCTGCTGGACGTTGTCATTTGTGTTTTCTTTGGCTGCTTGAGTGAAGCGGGTTCAATCGGTAAACTACCAGTTGGGGCTCGCCTATTTGTCCGCTTATGTGGAGGTTGAGTTGATTCTCAAAACATGTGAACCAACCGGAGAAGAACTAACTTCTCTCTGATGGGTGGTGTTGAGATGGAGTCAGGCTGAAGCCAATCAGATGGACATCCATCCAGATGGTCAAATGCTTCTTGAATGGGTGCAAATATCTATCAACCACAAACCTAAATGGGGAAGTTCACTTTAACATAATTCGCTCCAGGCCCCAATCATGGCGACTACGAGAAATCCGCGACAAATAGAAGAATCTAATGAACCACCTCGTCGATGTGATATTTAGAGGGCGTACAGGCATAGAGACGCTCATTCTGATGGGGGAACGCTTTCAGTCGCCATGGCTTTAGAAAAGCTAGTACCTCACGGCACCGCCATGCCAGACTTGGAGGGGTTGTAACATATTCTTGAGATAGGGACTTCTATATTTCTAGGTCACTTTCAATTATGCCCACAGTCACTAAGGTTTATGAGCAGGACTTAAAAATATCTGAGGCTTTTATTAAACAATCGCGAATTATCCTTGGAAGACATCAATGCACACATCCCCATACCGTCTGAAATTGTCTTTATGTCAATGCAGAGGAAGATGCCTCATTTTGATCATATTTATTTCAGTTTTAATCAGGAAACTACGACTCGTCAAGGCAGTTACATATCAACAGTATGTCCAAGCATCCATTGAATCACACCATATACAGTATAAACGTCTTGACCTCCTCCGATTGGATCACAACACGAGTTGCGTTACCCGCACCGGAATAGTCCCCACCGCTACGCCGTTCGTACTCCGATGGCCACTTTAAACTGTTCCTTCTAGCTACGTCCGCTAACTGATTGGCTGTCAGTGACATCTCTGTCGCTTTGACAACCCTACCCACCGTGAAGGCTTCACTCAACTCCATGGTGATTGGTCCGGTACCAGGAAGGCCAATATGGTGAAGGCGTACGAGGAGTTGGTTGGGTGAAGGCTCACCTTCTACAGGCCACTGCTGAGCTGTCAACAGATGAAGGCCCTCCGGCAGACTCCGAGTCAGTAATGACGGCGTGGCTGTGGGAGTAGATTGGAGACTGTCGTTGCCTCGGTCTCGGAAGAATAGAATTGGTGGTCGGGAGACTTCCTGCGCTAACCGTGGATCCATCTTCTCAACCCTTGCCACTGTGTCAAGTAGGAGCCGATGCACGCCCCTCACAACGATGCCTGTGATATACATAAAACATCGTTGTTCTTTGGAGGATGCATTATGCAGACTTCATCTAAATTTAACAATTTAACTAATAAATAAGCGCGACACTTGGTCCGCAATAATAGTGCATTTTGCGCACACGGACTAAATGCCAGAAAAGAACTTCGCAATAACGATGAGACACGTAGTGTCTGGTAGATAAAGTGACATCTTGTTTCACGGGGGTCTATATAACATAAATTTATTTATTCAAAGTAGTGCCAAGCCTGGGAATGGAGGAACCACCAACCTTCACTCCAGGTCGGCATACCACTAGCAGTGTTAGGAGCCAAGCTACGATTTTTTGATAGCAAAAACTAAAGGCACTGGAATGCTAGTATATGTCATTCGAAGAGTTTATTAATAATATTAGCTTGCTACTATCCTATTAAATACTCTAAGAGTGACTCGAGTAACTTCAACTAAACCCTATTGGCAAAAGGCACTTACATACCTTTGCATTCAAAACCAGAAAACAGAAGTTTAAATATGGCCTACAACCTAGTGACATAAGGCCCTATGTTTAAAGTTTGCCTAATTACTCGCTAGCACATCGTAGTTATTTCTGCGGACGGGCAAGCCACGGTAGGCTTCAAATAGTTCTGGAACAAATTGTGTTTACTGAAATGCATTTCAGTAAAAAACCACACCTATTACCCAAGTAGGTGATTGGGCACGTACGTCGATCCGTCAGGTTAAGAACGAGGGGAAGATATCCACAATTGACGCATATGCCTATTTGTAACACATGTATATTGAGCGAATATCGCGTAATTCTAAGTGATAGCATATACTTTAAATCAAACCAAGTACACTTGGCCAAGAGTGTGTTTGTTAACCAAATCCCAATCAGTTATCATTGTATTATATGTTTGCTTGAATACATCTTTTTGGCTAGAGGCGATCAGTGGACACGAATACAGTTACGGAAGGGCCACCATCTGCCCCCAAGGAGGAAGTGAACACCCTCATTTAATACGTCTATTCGTTCCAAAGGAATGGCGGTAGAGGTGGAAGAGATGGACCCTGAACCTGTTAAGGATTTCCCATATTTAATGCGCTGGAGGGGAATACACACGTGTTATATTCACCAGAAATCATATTTAGCGACGGCAAAAATTAAAAGCAGTTGGCAAATGCAACCGCATTCACCGTATTCCTAGTTGGGTCAACTCGCTTACTTGGAAGGATCCACCCGAATAATCCCATTATAATCTATAAAAACCTGCTTAAATACTTAACTAATACTAAATTGCCGGCATAAAGCCAATTCTTATTACAGGTAAACACGTAAACTCCCATAGTGCTTAATTCTTTCAATGGCTAAGTAAATATGGTAGTGGCATTCATTTATTCATGTCATTTGGCTGGTATCTGGTAGCCAAAAAGTTTATATTGTTTTCGGCATAGCTTCCTGAAATGCACGTGACTGTTTGGAAGCAGGCATTATTAAAGACAGAGGTCATCAGCCTATCAACAGCCTTGATTCTTATGTGTTAGTTCCACTTATTTTGAACCCTTTCATGGCAAAATGTCAGTCGAACCTGATGTGATTCAAACTGGTCTCTTTCACGAAGAGTCAACTTGATTGGAAAACCGCTGGAGTCACCCGTCTAGTTTATTATGGACGATGGGTATGTGGCAGTAGAAAACACCATCCAGAAATGCGGTTTTGGTGAAGACTCACTCAAAGGTAGATGGATTAGGCCCACGAAGACCCCTGTCCTTAGTATCGCACCGTTATTGCATGTAGCTATTACTCAAAGAAATGCAGACCAGCATGTGAAAGCCAATTTTGGTAGTTTTGAAGGTGAGTGGTTAAATCAGTCCTTCATACCCACATTATCCGGGAAAATCATGGAAGCTAGGCACCCGAGCCCCGAATGCGTTAATACATGAAATAAACTTCCGGGGTTACCACTTCACATACTAAAAACGCGTACTTTTACATTTCAGCCTAACTTTGCGTCCAAAATTCAAGTAAGTAGTTTTTTTCTCAGGTAAGCACAGCTTCATCCGCAAAAGTGTGCGTGTGTGTGTCTGGTGGATTGCAGACGAAACTGTTCATCGAGTATTTTGTGCTGAAGACTAAACAATGAAGGCTGAGGTCTACTTGATACAATTTGATGGTGACTGCCACCTTTTCCCAGCATTAGCATTTGAACATCACCTCATCACGCGGGGCAGTGGGGTAGGCAATTTGACAATACAAACGGTGCATCCACAAAGAGACAAAACATTTCATAGGGGCGAAATATGCAGGCTTTAAATGGTTAGTATTCCAACAAAAATTTTTATGAAGCTTTTTGAATTTACTCTCTACTAATAAAACCCCAAAAGTCAGGCTTACTTGTTCACCTTATACACATTACACGCGGCTAAAATGGAGCAGCATTAATTAACCTGCATCATGAAAAAAGAAAACAAGAAATTCTTTTGGCAAGACTAGTATTTACCATAAAACGGGACAAAACAATGCGTTTACTACTTTGGCCAAGTATCGTTTCTAGCCATACAAAATGTTGAATAATCGCAGCCAACAGCTTAGAAGCTCCATTAAAGGGTCAACTGAGGTGACATTTGGGCAATAAATGATCGCGTTTAAACCATCCCATCCCAGCACTCCTTACAAGGCTATAATGCATCAGGAGGAAACGTATAAGAAGGGAATAAGAATTATGACCTCATCAACAACCTTCACAGCCCCGCAATCAGACTATAAATTTTGCGGCGGGACCACTGATGGAGAGCGCACATAACTCCTTGGACTTTCCAAAAGCCACCATTGGGAGGCGCATTCGCGTTCCCGATCATTAAGTTGGAAAAATAGTGCAACCGAATAAATAATTGCCGTGTGATTCCGTTAACCTTTAAGGTTACTTGAGAAATAATGCTTGTCTATGATAGGATAAACAATGGCTAAATAACCACTACTGCAACTGAGGTGTCACCGAAAGCATGATACAGCTGTGGTCAATTTTAGGCCTGCCACCTATTGTAATAAAACGACTAGGCAATGACACACCTTCACCAAAGGCGCGTTCAGTGAGAGGCTCGCCGACCCCGAGGCCGTCGTCGACAATGGTGGCGCGATGTAGCATGAGCTCAACTTCGCCCTCGGCCAAACTGGAGCCGCCCTCCGCCCGGTCCGTATAGACGCCAAAGGCGTAATCCGTGCCCTTCAGGAGGATGCGGTTGACCACGGGATAGTAGCTTCCCTCTATTAGGTGCGCCTGCAGGGGATCGCGACTCTCCCGGATCCACCAGTACCGCAAGCCATACCCGTTACCGTCTGGGGGCTCAAAGCTGTCCACTTTACCTTCTGCAGGACGTCTACGTTCCCGTTTGATAAGATCATTTCCCATAGAATCGGTGTAGAATTCACCTGCATGCAGGAGTAAGAGTAATTAAGCAAATATAAGTCAAAGCTAGTAATTAATACTTGTTTAGTCCTCTTCAAGTGGGCTTTATCCTCTTTGAGAAAGATGCTTTTAGGAAATGGTCAACAAAGTTGTTGATCATTTGTCACTCCTTCCACCAGTTGCCTTCAAACTATAGCCACGATGTGGGATCTTCAGTCGGTGAAAGAGAAAGCTGCACCTCAACAGAAAAATACAAGGACGCGAGGCCTTTTACTTTTTAAGTTCGGGCAAATGACATTAGTATTGTGAAAATACATCATTAATGCAAAAGGCAATACCAAATTACAGTACATACCGGTCTTAGTTACCTACGTAGAGATTATGAAAGAGTACCCCACTAATCTCTTTGTACAAATCCAGGAGACCAGCAAACTCCCATTTCCAATCCCCAAGTCAATTAAATATAAGTTTCCGATCCTACCTTCGGTGGCGGGACGAACCCCATCGCCGCTGACTCGATAGCGTAGGATGACCTCTGTGACACGCCTGCCGATGTTTGGAAGGGGTCCCACGACCCACTCAACCTCCATTCGGTCATCAGCGTAGAGGCGGGTCGTCAAGGAGGCCCAGGAGGTAAATGTCGTACGCACTTCAGTCACAAGTTCACCATCAATTATCTGTTGCGATTGGACGGGGGGAAATGATTCGAATTAGGCGAAAAATATAGTATTACCAAATAAGGAAAGGAATGCGGGCTTTAATAAACCACATTACAGATCCTCTGTAAATAGCAACTCACTAAATGCATCATTTCGTCTTTGAAAGTAATATTGGTTTCGTTTAGTTTTGTATGCGATGAAGTGTGAAAAATGTGGTAGCGGAAGCTTTCTCGGCGTCAATTCTGATGCTTAAATGAAAACGAGGCTTTCAAAAAGTCAGAAAAGTGACGAACTCAATGTACATTTTTATGTAAACAATCATCGTGTGCATTTATTGGCAGTACACAATGCATGACTCACGACTGGAGACAAGTGACGCTGAAAAGACCTTCAAAGGATCCCGCTGTTTTCAAAGATTCCTCAGATTGCAACATCAGCAACCCCAAGTGGGGAATTCTACTTTAGCTGTTCTCATGTTGTAGTGAAGTTAACAAATGAATTCCTATTGACCCCAATTTAATGTAAGGTGATTAAATCCTCATTCTAACTTTGCGATCCCGTCTATTATCTGCTTGATGCGCGTGGACGGACGATGTGTGCTCAGCGGAAGCCAGCAAATTGGGAAAACAAGAAATTCTAGGGCCATGTGCATTTTATAGCCATACATATCAATGCTATTGGGGGCAAAATTAAGCGTGAACATTAGATAATTCTTTGCAGAAGCAACAGGGCGGAGAGCCCCAGTACTGATTGGTTCAGAAATTTAATAAACTCAAGATATAGGCATTTAAAACAGAAATAAGTTCTTATTCGGTGATAATATGGGAACCGGCTGCACATAACTGAATGACAAAGTAAAATAATTTGGTAGCATTTAAGTAATACCAGCGAAAATTTGAGCCTGGTTTATTTGGTTGATGTTTGAAACAAGGGTATATTTCCGAGCAAAAACGTGGGCTAGTGAAACCGAAACTAAAAGTAGGGCTAGTTGACACTAGTTTAGATAACTAATCAGTAATGTCACTCACAATGTGTAGTTTTCGCAACAATTGCGGATATCTGTGATATGTGGTGGTGAATTAAGTATGATGCATTAAATCAGGTCATTGTCTCTTCACAAGTCAGAGAAGTGTGTCAGGCAAAGTGAGACAAACGTTGCCTCTTCATCTTGTTCAGCAGACTCACTTCTGATGTGGCATTTCCGATAGGAACAGCCCCTTTAAGAGGTCGGAAAACATAGGCCCCTGAGGTCGGTTTATAGTAGGTGCTCGCATCGTACTTCATCAGACGCATCGTCACAGTTTGGCCCTCTTGAGTTTGGAACACCGGGAGGTTGTCTTGGCCAATCTTTAATGAAATCCGTTGTTGCCTTCGCTGGCGCTGGTAGCCATACCTAAGAAATGCCAAAAACAAAAAACAATTTTATTTATTAGCAAGTTACCACGTATTTTAAATTATTTTATTCGGATTGTGTGATGAAGACGCATGGAGGCATTCACTTTTGCCTAGATTTTCCAGTTGCTTATATCCCTGTGGATGACTGACGGCTTTCGCGAAGTCGTCAACAGTGAACAGTAAAAAGGCTTTTGTTTTGTTCTTTTTCCATAAAAAGCTTTGTTCAGCTGTTGTCCATTATCGAGTATGTAGGAGGACCCAATTTTCACTCAACAATTGGTGCTACATTGCTTCACAATGTTTCTGAATGAACTGTAGCACATTGTTTCTTATGTGGAAACACTTTTCACTCCTGGTTTCTGACATTAATTTCGCTAGATTTTTCCAAAAGACTTCATGTTACGGTTACTGCTGCTATTTACCACCCTTCTGCAATAAGTATATCCCATCTTCTCAACATTTATCAAGTTAAATCTCCATATCCTTCTTCTTTACTCGCAGAGCGACCTAATATAGAGTTCCAAACCGTCAAAATCATACGCTGAATGCTACAAATGCAAACACTTAATATTTTGCTTGATTAGTCCTGAAAATTAAGTAGTTACAATCAGAGGTAGTTAGCCACACCTCGTAGGAGGAGGATACTAGTTTGTTTAACTTTCAAGAACATGTATTCACGGGCAAAAGCCAGCAAAATCACTCTCACAAGGGCATCCTCAAAATACCTGCTAAACACACACCAGATTTGAATAGCATATAAAACGTACAATTAGTCTCTTGACATTCTAACCTACCCATACCCATGACTCTCTTCACCCTTTAACGCGAACCACGTGAAGCCTGCCCGGGTGAGTCCAACGCTTGGCTTGAAGACCAGCTCTGAATGTCCTCTGTTGCTGAGCATTCGCCTCTCTGGTAGTTGCAACACAGCTGTTGGCAAGTCGACCACTTGAAAAGGCACAGTTTCACCGGTAAAGTACTCGGTCAATGTGTAGGCGTAAAGTTCGTCAGCCTCCCCCTTGGTCGGATGCAACGGAAGACGCAACCACGGCTGAAGATCGTCCCATCCATGAGGGTTGTAAACAGCTACCAGGGCGTCCGGTAGACCATTTTTGCGAGTCAGAGGAAGGCAGACGGAGACGTTAAGATATTCGCAGACCTTAAACCCGTTGCCGCCACTATGCGATCGGCGCTCCAACAGACTGTCGGCAACAGACGAGACAAGTTGTTGACAGCCACGCATGGCGTCGGTGAGGCGCTGACGGTAGTCATTGGAAACATGTTGTTTCTCAGTGCCGGTGATAGCGTCGTGATGTTGCATTACTCCCATCATTTGACGAAGTTGGTCCACGACCTGATTGGAATCGAGGTAAGTGCCCTTCTGGTAGTCATAGGGCAGACGTGATGGGTATTTGTAGCGGGACCCAAGGCTAGGTTTCATCAAGTGAGCCTTTCCAAGAGGAAGAGGTGATAGTGGAAACATTAATAACGTCTATGAGGAAGCGGTGTGTTTTTTAGAACAACCAATAGCGACGTAATGATTGAAGTATCGCTATTATGTATAACTATTTGGGATGTTTTATTATCATGGCGGGTTCTAAAATTGATTGGTACTCGTAAGTTAGACTATTTATCCTGGTCTACCATACATTCGCGAGTCCCGTTATGGCTAAAATTTGGCCCCCTCTGCCCCATCCTTCAAAACCACAAATCTCAGTCAAATTTTCGGCGACCAAGTTGAAACGCCCGATTAAAGGTATTATTTAAATGTTTTTAGAGACGGGTATAGTGCCTTCTGTTCTCCTTTGCCTACGACTTTGTATGCTATAAAATTCGAAAGAGCCGTTGTTTCGAGTGATTTCCCTCTCACCCGAGAAGTGGTAAGATGGACCGGATTCAGGAATGAAGAGTCGCATTACCAAGATAAAAGGATCATTTTACACTGGGAAACTCATAGAATCAGTTTCCAACCTAGAAAAAAAGAAAAGAAAACGAGAATCAATGCCGAAGAATGAAGTAGCCTTTTCAATTGTTATGAATAGTCTAGTCGTATTCCACTTGTCAGTGTTTAGGATGTCGTGGAATAGATGTTTTGAGTGGTTATTTTATGTTATTAGTTTTAGTGTATTTTGTCTAGTAACCGCATTTGGAACTGATTTAAGTATGCATTGTTGTACGTTGGTTGCTTAACTCTTCTTTTTGATTTTGTGGACACCTAAGGCTCCGCGATTGTACTTCCGCAGGGCGGAATGGCCTCCGGGCCATGCCAGTAGCCTCCAAGCCCTTCTATTCATAGGCTGTACATTTTTTCTTAAGGATTATTACTTCTTTCTTCTTCAGGAAAGACATTACTGGCCGAATCTGGAAAAACTTCAAAGAATCACATTTCAATAGGGAGAAACAGAGGTCAATCATGATGGAAAAAGTACATCACTGCAATAAAGTGAATACGTATACTTCTAGGGGAAAACGTTTGGGAAGTTACTGTTGTGCATCTGATTCCATTCCATAATATAGAAATATTTATTAACTCTTTGATTACTAAAAACTGGGATTTCTTTAATTTTCCCGCACTTGAACTTTCTAAGCCCCCAGAAAGTGGAAGTTTTTTAGTGAAACAAAGAAATAATTACTCAACTGAAAAGGTCATTTAGTAAGTCATGCTCCACTTACACCTACGTGGCGCCAAGTGAATTGATGAAGGCTCGAAATGTCAATGCAAATAGGACTTTCGATGTTTTGGACAAAACTCAGCCCAACGGTTGATTGACATTTCCTTTCCCGGTATGAAGAGCCACGCATCCAATAAGGGCGGCTTAAGTGGCTTGAATACCGTCATCTTGCCTTGAAGGAGTCCAATTTGTTTTGAATTTCGGCAAAATAAGGAATATGTGCGTTTTGCTTAAACATTTGGGTTCCTGCTCCGTCCTTTTCCTAAAATGGCCCTAGAATAGTTAAAAACGACCAGGCTGCTGGCTCCTTTTTTCCAACAGACCTCCGGCCTCTTATGTCCACTTTGGCATCCCTTTCCTGGAATTTAATTTATAATTTGTTGATCACTTAAATATCTCACTCATAAGGCCAGATGCTTTAGCCTCCATTTTGTAGTTTATTAAATCATTGTGTGGATATGTACATCGCCCCTTAGGGACACAGTGGTCACAGACGCTACACCCACCTTACTACTCGATTTGATTAATTTCATCACGAAAAACTCCTAAAACAGAAGCCTCCCAAAACCGGAATGAGGGGGAATTGACTGAAAAAAAGGGTTGCGTGTCTTTAGACTTAGACACGGATAAGAAGTAGTCAAATTTTTTTGCACAGTGCCTTCCAGTGGAGTCTGCTGTAATTCATTCGTCGTTTGTTCAACTCCTCATTTTGGTTAGGCGATCACTTAGGCCTCCTCTGGGCAATGTGGCTTCCGAACCATGCCATTAGCTCTCAAGTCCTTCCATACGTCGACTACACATATTCTATCCTGGTATTATGCCTTCTTTTGTCTTCAGGAAAGACTCAGGGCGTCACACTGGGATGAAAATAATTGGCTGTGCTTTACCTGACCTTCTAGTAAATTTTGTCCTTATAAACAACCATCTCTTTGGGGGAAAAACTTATCGTATTGAGAATTTCTAGGTATGAAGACACCGTTAGCATTTATAAATTGTTCCATTTACTTAGAAATGGACATGAGCAATGTCAAATGCAGGCCAAATTAGCGTTTTGTCGGAATTAATGCAAGCTGTGCCAATTTAAGCATGACAAATGACAATGTGAATGGCAAAACAAGGAAATTGTGACTACCATCCTCCCTCTCCGTTCATCTGCACGTTTATTTTCATAAGGGGATGCGAGGTTCGGGCCACGATCAACAGGAGGAATGGCTGATCAGTTGCAGGGTTCTGGCTTTGCGTGCTGAACCTAAACCCTAGTTCCTCTCGCATCACTCCCTGGGTGTTGTGATTGTAAGTTTTGTATCTCCGGAATATTTCAATCCAGCAGACTTCGTATCAAACCTGGCCGCTGATTGTTTAGTTAAAGGCACTCAATTGTACCAAATAAATGTGAGGTGTGACCTCGGATTGTTTACACAAATCACACATCGACAGAACCGTCCGAATGGCGCATTTTGGACTTTTCAACAGCTAGCTATGCTGGAATAATGATCAGTTTGTTCATTACGTCAAGCTAACATATCAACTTAGAACATGACATTCAATCGGGTGTGAAATCTTTCGAGTAGGGGATAGAGATCACGACAACGTGCGCACCACCTCCGCGGGTATAATTGATGACTTTGTCCTTTCACCAATCAATTGCGCCCCACTTTTGGGTACCTCGAGGTGCTAGAGGATCGCAAATATAGTGCTAATCGTGAAGGTCAAGGTGGTGAATCCTCTTTTGTGGCTGGCGTTCACAAAACGCGACCACACAAATGGATGACCTTCTGAAGCAGGGCATGTAAAGGTGCTGTCCCCTTGTGACCGTATCTCAGCCCAAATTATAACTAGTGCGACCTCTGCTTACCGAGACTCATTCTAAGACTTTCACCATGATAAAAGATAAATCCTACTCAAGTGTAAAGCTCTTGGGGGAAAATAAAAATCCAGAAAAAAAGAGCAAGATAATTTACCAACCTGTTCGCAGGCTGCGAGCAGCGAAGATGCTTGTCGGACCATAAACTTTTGGGTGGGTCTACTGGTGTAGAATCCAGTCCAGAAGGTGTTAGAAGCGCTTGCGTAGGGAAAAAAGTCGCCTTCTCTTTGAGGCATCATGCCCCTTTTCCTGAATGCTTCATTAACTGACTTGGTGTAGCAGGCTGGACTGGAATAGAGCAGGTGCATCGGTGGTGTCGATGACGTCCAGGGGGTGGGTCGCATTGCTTCGTGGCTCTGATGTGCATTTACATGCTCGATAAGCCGGTCCAAATTAATGAAATTCTCATTAGCGTTCTCATAAGTGAAATCACATCCCATGGGCACGAAGATATGGTTAGTAGCATAGCTCTTGGCAACCATTCCCACGTATTCCAAGAACTGTCTTACTCTCGAAGGAACATTGTAGTTAGTCGCAAATGGATCCACAATCATTGGGGGGTCGTCGCATTTGGAGTCGAAACAGAAACCGGGTGGTGAGCAGTAGCTTTGATAAAGCATATGTGTGAAGAGACCGGTTGTGTTATCTGTGGGATCAGCTTTCCACAAAACCTCCATCTCCCTATCCTTGAGTCGTCGGCGTTTTTCGCGATAATCCATGCGTTGGAAGAAGACTCCATCGAAACCGGCATCCATGAAAATGCGTGCCTGTTGCCTGGCATGACCGAAGGGATCAATCTGCCATGCCACCCTAGGCCTTCCGCAATCACCGAAGGTGGCATTAAGGAATGCCAAACCTCGAGTTAACTGGTCCACGGAATCACTGTAGTGGACCACCGCTTCGTCGTTCATAGACCAACCACCCAAAGCGAATTCCAGCTGCCCGTTTCGAACAAGGCGATGGACGAGTTCTTGCATTGCCGCGTTCTGCAGACGCCACCAGCGTTCGAAGAATGCCATCTCCACGTAGGTAAACTTGCGAGACGGATTCAACGAAAGCGCATGCATCACCGAGTCGAGAATATATTGCACTGCGGCCGTTTGGTACCATTTAACATCACCGAAGTAGTACTGGTCGATATTTTTCAACCATCCAACATCATCATGGGTGTGCGGTATGATGTGGACGTTGATGTGATCTTCCTTAGTCGGAGGACAGAGATCATATCCGCATTCTTCGGCTAGCGTGACACGAAGGAGGAGGATTAGAGAAAAAACACCACACAGTAGCATCCTAACATAAAGGTGTCCGAAGTGTCGCTTGTCAGCTTTTATGGCTTGGTGTATCTTGACCACACCCATATGGATGTCTGATCGCAAGACAACCAATCAGAAGACAGTGGAGTGTACGCGCGCACCCATGCCTTGTGAATGTGTCGACAGGACCAGACAGGCCGCTGATAGACGGTAGCTATTTTTAGATCTATCTATAGGACCTATAAAAGTTGTGATTCGATTGGTGGATGCTTAGCAGTTTTGATATGTTGGTGTGGACATTATGATTGCAGAGCATGATACGCACCTAAAAATAGTGTCGAGAAAGGCAATAACTGTAAGTACTGGTAAATGAGAGGAAGATGAGCGACACTTACTGCAACAAAAGGGATTTGGAAATTTGGAGATGAATACAAATCAGAATTGTGCACTTTTTATTGCGTTTTTAAGCACACAAATTAACTTTTCTCAGGAAATTTTCTCCTCCCTCCGTTGAATGTCAAATCGTTCGCGTGTCAGTGAATTTTGGAGAATTATTCAATGTTTTACGCGCCTCCAATAGCTCTCTCTGCATTGAAGCGCTGCCGATCGCTCAACTCAAAAAATCACATCAGAATGGATTTTACTGTGTGTAAAATTGGATTTATCGTTGCCATGTAACCTCCTCCTTACATTTGCTCTGGATTACGAACTTTAGCACTCATTTATATGTTGACACAATGAGTGCATTTGTTAATAACCGGAGAGGGAGCATTTGTTTGTCAAGGTGTGGCAGCTGATTTGAAGCGATCAGTGGCGTGTAAATACAGGCCCTAACTACGTTCTCTTTCAGCAAACACAATCGCTTGTTCGCAGGCGATCATATTATTCTACTTAACGAAAATGCCATTTTCGAACTATCAAGCAAATATTCAACTTCACAATTAGTGAAGATGTCTAATGTTGCCAGTCTTGACGCCTTTTTGGAGACCGAGGCAATTGATAAAATGGTGCCGCCTGTTTGAGCTTACGAGACAAACGATAGTAACCCTCCTCAGACTTTGTTCCGAGCACCCATTCAGAACCAAATTGTTGTTTACATAATTGAAGCGGTAAGCAAGTTTACGACAAAGTCGCCTCTTAGTTACTGTTAAGTAAACATACATATTTCATACAATTCAGGCTCAAAGACCCATTCAATAATATTGGCTGTATAGTTGTTATGTGTTTTTTCCGTATGAATTTGAAGTCTGTGTGTGTAGTCATGGTATTTACAAGTAGATATTAATAGCTCGACTTTTACTTACCTGAAGTTCTCCTCACTGTTAAAGGCAATTGCTTTACAAAACAATATATCTTACAGGAAGATAGTCCGTTTTCGGACTGGAGGTAAACCTAGAGCAAGAGCAAATGTGGTTAGCCATCATTTCTTCCTAGGACCCTCTAAAGGAGGACATGGATGTTTAATAAAAGAATTCAAATTCGGCCCTGGAACATCACTGAAGGGGACGTATGAAAGTTACAAAGGGAAGGTAGAAACAATATCTATGCTCAATTCCTTGACTTAGAGCGAAATTACAACTAGAATGGATGTGTTGCTACTACGTCGATGACCTCAAAAACGCGCGGCGGTCCTACCAGCGGAATTGCTATGCTATGTCCAAAAGTGGTCAAGAAACCTCATTTATTGGTGTTTACAAAAGCGCTGTTTCTATTAGACTACTAATTTTTGGCCCATATCACCCCCAAGTGTGGTTGTGATAGGTCGAGGTGTATATTCACTGTAGCAGAATTACCTTACAAGCCGCCGTGATCTAGAATGCCGCCGCGTAAATACCCGCGGAGGTCGCAAGCGAGGTAAGTGAATTTGTCGACCTGATGTTGACTGAGAAGTCCTATGGTACTCCCAAGCCTTTATTACTAAGACGCCTGACAGCGTAGAGGAAACGTGGGCACGACAAATCTTATTAAGGGTCGAGCTCGGCGAATGCGATCCCTGGTGAGATGAGTGAAAATTGATAGCTCCCTCCTCAGGTAGTTATGATCCAACTGCCAACACCCGACAATAAAGCCACTTTTTTTCCGTTCAGGCCTCTTACACTCCAGTAGAAAAAGGTGGAAGTAGTCGATGAGTTCCACGAGTGTTTCTTAACCTCTACGATACATCAAGTGTCTCCTCCACATTCCACACCGATCTCAAAGATCACTATCCCAGAAGTTCATAAGATTACAACTACAAGTAGACACACTCGTACGCTCAAGATCACATTATCAGCCTTGGGCCAATATAAACACCCCTTGCCCTCCCACTCTTGATGGAGTCTTCAGCTATTGCTGTCGCTTTAAGGACTTCCCATCCACTTGCATCTAGGAAATTACGACTTCCAATACTCCATGACTAGTCTTGGCTTCCTCTCACATTTCTGCTTGGATGTCGATGTACTCACCCCAAAACTTCTCATGATTACTATCACTCTCTCTGTTCTAGAGAAAGCAACTACAATAAATACGGTTAGCCTTCAAATGGCTTTACCTCCCAATTATGGATTCGCAGTACTTTTTACTTAATTTTCCAGCATCGTACAGCTGACCTTCTTCACGACATTAGAACAGGCTATTGTGCATTGGATCAACACCACTGGACCTCTTGTCACAGCAAGATAGAGGCACCTGAGCCCAGGGATACTGGAAATAGCCAACCAACCTGAATCCAACCACATGATAAGCTTATATGGTACCCTAAAAGCCATCTCCCCGTGGTCTTCACCTCTCCACGTGGCATTTAAAACGAATCCTGGGGAATGGAGACCTTACGGAGACTATCACGCACTCACTAACGTAATGCTACAAGACTAGTATCCCATTCTTCATCTTCACAGAAAATCCATTTTCTCAAGAGGTTACTTAGTACATGCCTCCTACCACATTTCTACGGGAAAAGAGAACATTCCATTTGGGCCTCGAAACGATGTGCAGGCATCATAAAGATATTTTCTACGTGGTAACTCGGGGACCCCAATTCGTCTTTGCATAAATTGACGATGTTTAGGTAATCAGTGAAAATCTCATGGAACATAAACTGTATCTGCATATCTTCTTCAGGTATTTTAAAGAGTACAGAATAGCGATTAGCGCTAGCAGGCACAAGTTTGGCGCAAAATCTTCAAACTTCTTTTAACACTATCAGTTCTCTCAGTACCATCCCTCACCAGAGAAATTCTCCGCCATCAGATTTTATCCACCTCCTTTCTCGAGTTGCCGGCCTCGAGAACTTTTATCATCGGCATATTCCTCACTGTGCTGACCTCCCTCAATCACCCACAGATCTTATTGCATAAAGGTACTCGGTGTTTAGAACTCAACGACGGTGTAACCAAGGCTTTAGATATTTAAAAATCTTCTTGGCGAAATCATTATAATTGATTCACTCTACTACTGACGCAGTAACAAAACTACTTCCCCTGACGGATGCCTCGCAGGTAGCAACAGGTTGTAAACGGTGAATCTCGATGGCTAGCTTGCTTCACTTAACGTCTACAATCAGCGCAAAAGCGGCGCAGTATTTATGGTAGAGAACAATGTCAGTCTACCGCATTGCGAAGCACTTCAGACACTTCCTTGAAGGCTGTTCTTTTGCACCAAATTACAGATCACAAACCTCCGATACATACTGCATCAAATCGCTATTTGTGCAAGGCGATAAGACATTTAGATTTTCCCTCAGTTCAGTATCAACGTAAGTTATGTTGAAGAAAACCAGAGCGTTGACACAGACGCAATGTACCGCGTCGGACTCGAGAGCAACTGTAGAGGCCCCAGACTTCCCTGAAGACGACGACTGGCACAACACTCGGGCAGAATATGTATTGTTAACATGCAGTAGGACCTGGTGGCCACTGGCATGGCGCAGAGGTCAGGCTGCCTTAAGGGCGTACATTCGCGGAGACCCTAAGTGACCCGCTAGCAAAATTAACAGTTAAATAAATAATTAAAGTATAACACTTAGGCACTTTCGAGTTGGAGTCAGTGATTCAAACCCAACATCCGAATTCTGAATTAGACAGCCTCCGATAGAGACCGTCTCTCGAGTTCTCAGGGTTTTTTTTTCATAGCGAGATAACAACCTCTTTTGGCTCAAAAGTCAGTTGAGTCCTGTAATATCTGCAGCAATCTCTATCAGCCTCATCTTGCAGCTCACGGCTAACAGTCCGAGACCTACAAGGTCTGCCCGGATGTGATCGCATAGAGGCAACTGCTTCACCTCCTATATCCAAAGGCCTGGTCAAACGCATTCATTGTTAAATGAAAACTGGTATTATTAGTCAACTTTGGCGTACGGCGGACTGGGTTGCTTCCTACTGTCTTGCTCGAAATTTGCTCTGTAATGAAAGGGGATACAGGCTGTTCGCCTCAGCTCCCCTAGCAAAATGGTCACTGATATTCTCACCACTAGCGAAGTTAACTACTTCGTACGCATCCTGCCTCAATCATCAAGTCTGCCACCTAAACCGTACCCCTTCTCGTACGTTTAATCAAATGTCACAAATCTATTCCGATCTGTGGATTTCCCCCTTTGTATATGTTGGAATTAAAGTAGTCCAATCCCTCTTACGTCTACCCTATGGCGGTCCACATTGGAGTGGTAGAACGGCATAACAAGCACTTCGTCATCGACCGCGACAGTTAGAAGAATGCTGTCAGTATCAGCGGACTAAAAGTTTGTTAAGTGGGCAGTTCTTCCCTTAGCCTTTCCTTACTTTGCGTCACCAACCCATTCAATGTTTCCTCCAGCATCCTTAAGAAACCATTTTTCTGTATCGTGCATAACACACACGCGTTGGACGTGCTGTCACACCTCCGGTGCGCCCTGTGGGTTTCACCTCATTCATCGTTCTAGCATCGGGGAAACGCTCGAGGGAGGCGCAATTGTGGTGCTCATCGCACCGCCGTACTGTTGGCATGCTCGCCGGCGCGGACAACTGGATCTGGCTCATCCAGTATGAAAACCCAATGCTTGCTTGTACAAATCGGTGAATTGAGAGATTAGAGCGCGACATTTTGCTAATTTCTATCCAAAGTTCAAGGCCATTTTTTAACTGTGTTGATAAAAAGCACGTTCACGCACCATGAAAAATGGCTTCAAAAGGAGTACTCATAAAAAATGGTTTTATGCACCAAATTATAGCTTATCTTTTCAATTTTATAGTTTGTTTTAAATTCCAATCTCTTGTTATTTGATAGCCCCGGCCACTGTGGTTATATCGATTGAAGGGAATGACTTTTTATGCCTTTTAAGATGATTCGGATGAATGGAAATGAAATTGCTTCTTGGCACATCATATAGGTAAAATCCGATTCAAACATCTCGTCACTATTACATATTTTCAGTTCGATCTACTATGAATGAACTATTTCATGGCAAAAGTTGGCGTCTCGATGATTAGAAGCAAGCGATTATAAGCATTATGCACTAATATTACAGGTAATCAGACCATGCTGATAAGGTAATAAGAACGACTTGTCTAGAAATGGACAAGAAGCATTTGGGTGTTTGGGTGATGGTAACAAATGCGACCATAGATATCCAGCTTTTAAAAATTACAAATTTTTGCGGACTATGGATTCCTAGTACCGTTGACCCTTCGGCATCGAATTGGGATCCAGTAGCAGCGCCCCAAGATTTGCTTGAAGACGAAGGAAGACATGACGCTGAGACAGACTATATGCTGCTGACGTACAGATGGGATGAAGGGTCAATGACATGGCCCGAAGGTCATCCCCCTGGAAGGATGTACAATGCCCGTACCCTTCAATGCCTACGTAACCAAAAAGAAGAGTTCAGTAAACAGTGAAAATATTACACATCCCCTCTCCTCTTGTCAGCGGCGACCCCGTCGCGCCCTTTAATCAACCTCCTGCTTCAGCCGCCACCGTCTGGCCAGAAGTGTAAAAAAAACGCCCACAAATCAATCGCCTCAGTCATCAAAC